CTAGCCAGTTAGAAAGCTAGTTTGTCTTGATCTGCATTCCTCGTTTTTGTCTGTTAGCGAGCTACCGTTACTGTACTGTAGGTCACTACACTCACTGTCGCGCATTACTTAGACTGCTTGGCAAGTGCCAACCTGCCAAACTTTGCAATGTATGGGCATGCCTTTATTTGTTAAGTCCAGGATTCGAGATATGTTAGACCAGGGATACTTAAGTACTATTTTAGAAGGCCCGGTCACTCTTATCCTAGCTAAGTGGTAGCCCAAAGGCCGGCAGATATCGAGACGTTTAATCTAACCGTCCAAAGGGAATAGATGCAGCCGGCTATACACTCACATCCCCCGTGTACCGGTTTTCGTTCTCCATAGAGACTGCAAATGCGTCGACTTCCTCCTTAACTCGATTTAATGGCAAGAATGCGGGAAATATGCGTATTTTCTTTGCGAAACACGATTTTCCACCACCATGCTAAATCCTGATTTTGCGCCCCACATTCAGCCTGGGGTAAACAGGTTCCTGCAACCTGATTGGCTGAACGCAATAGCAACATCCGGGACTAGCATTCCTAGGCATAACCCATTATCCATGGTGGTGGAATGGTAGGCTTATTTCCCGCTTTTTTTCTGCCTTCTCGCCATTAACGAGGAAATCGTCGGATTTGCAGCCTGAATGGAGAATGCTTTTTCAATACGAACCGGTCCACGTTGATACATGTATAGCTAGCTGCATGCATTCTCTGTGGACGGTAAGATGAAACGACTCAATGTGGCCATCTGCCGGCCTTTGGGTTAGCTAGATGGCAAAGGTCCAGATGGATATTTTAATTTATCAGTGTAGTAAGAAACCCCTACCTCGCAACAATGCGACCCCAAACTGTTCACTATTAACACATCTTGTTGGCTGATTTTATTTTTATGCAGTTTCAAAACTAATTTCCTGCAGTTTCACATTTTGCCATGGGGCTGAGAGAACATTTAGCAACTTTAAAGCACATTTCCTGCCATGTCTTGTGTATTGATATACTTGAGTAACCCCCCCCAAAAAAAAACATTTTGTTCCTTTTTTTTTATCTGGACCCGCGGTCCGTTCTGGGTCAGAATACGGACCGCGATCCACCTATCAGAGTATGTGAGCGAAGCTGGAGCGGAGTGTGCCCAATTTCACTGTAGCATGGAGCGAGATTCCCAAAGGCTGGAACGTCGGTCTTCTCACCCTTTCCAATTTCGCTCCAGTAGCGCTCACTTCATGGCTCAGGGCATGCTCGGCCCAGCATGCATTTGTAGTCTACTTGTGTGCTGCTATAGCCCCTTGCTTTAGCTACTGTCATGGAGTTCGCTAAATGTTTTCATAAAGAAACTGATAAAACACACAGGTGCAAAATCAAGGTGACTTACAAAGATGAGGACCAAGAGAGGTAGTGCAGTGATCTAGTGTCCACAACTAAAAAATCATTGTGGAATGTGAAAAGACATGTATCCCAAAAGCATGATGGTGTACTTACTACATGCACATGCTAAAATAAAGGAATGAGGTGGGTAGATAACTAAGTGTGTCATTGTAGCAAATTATTTATAGACAAATAATCAGAGCTCTTAACGTTTCATTCATTTTTGTTCTATCTATACAATAGGCCATCATTGATTTTGGCCCAATTGGCCTGGCATATTCCCACGTTCAAGGAGCTTTCTGTTTTGATTGGGTTATTTAGCCTAAAAACCTTTTAGGCCTACCTAAAAATAAAAAAACAACTCTACATCTCTGCCCAGCCTGGCAATAGTGGCCAAAAGGGTGTTTAGCATTCCCAGTGGCTCTGCAAGTGTGGCGAGGATATTCTCCGCTGCTCTCAAGGCACCATTGCATGAGCCTGAAGCCACAGACTGGCCAAACTCGTGTTTCTAAAAATGAATTCATAAGTCATTTTTAGTTTAATTTCTATTTAATTCTTAGTAAGTCACAGCCTATATGCACAATTTATAGACTATAATGATTTAATACAACAAAATGTTTAAATGCTGAGCCCTTTATGTCCCTACCAGCCTAGTGTGTCGCACTCGCAAATGTATTTCTTTGTAGGCTATGGCCTTGAAATAATTGAAATAATATAGCCTAAATAATTCCTTCTTTTTTTTTTTGCCTCCCTGTGTGGCTCCTGACCTACTTAGTGTTTATATGCTATTTAATATGACATGTAGCCTATTTGAAATGATGAGCACTTCTTACATTCAACTTTTCATGTTTATTAAAATACTTTTCATTCAAATCATATGGTTTGGTTTCAATACTTAAAAACCAAATGGTAGGTCCAGGTAGTCACAATAATAGTTGGGTGTTGGTTCAATTGTGATTTTATTGAATGGAGCGAATTTTGAGCTTCATTTTTTTAAACCTGTGAGCGCGGAGCGGTTGGAAAGGACGTGGAGCACCCTTGCGCACTGCTCCATGAGCGATGAGCGGCATTTCTAACCTCTCAACTCTGCTCACAAACTCTGCCACCTATTGAGTATGGCTTGCGTTAGACAGCTGTGTCTGCCACCTTAGCTGAATAAAACCTTTTAATTTGATCTCCCCTTACCCCACGACACATGATATGCAGGGTTTCCATTAGCCGGTAATAGCAGTCTTTTGGCCACATTTTTTTGGGGAAAAGCCGATTTAAATAAATCGCCAGCCAATTGTCCGAAAAAAAGAAGAAGAAAAAAACAGTTGATGGAAATACATTTAGCTGGTCTATTGGTCAATTTGCATCATTTAGTGGAATTCAATTGGTGGATGTGTATTTTCATTAATCGTTATGTTTATCACACGAGCACAGCATATAGAGCGGACAGTCTGTCAGACAGCGCAAGAGCTGCTGCTACAACTTCTCAAACAGCTCATTAGTTGCTGCTGGAGTGAAACGTGCTGTTATAAGCCCAATCATTAGGTAACAATTCTAAATGCAATCACGTGTTAACCTCTACGGGATCGGTGTCATGTATATGGGACAGTTGAGCTAACGTGCGCTAATGTGATTAGCATGACTGTTGTAAGTAACAGCTAACCTTCCAGGACATAGACATGTCTTATATGGGCAGAAAGCTTACATTCTTGTTAATCTAACTGCACTGTCCAATTTACAGTAGCTATTACAGTGAAAAAATACCATGCTATTGTTTGAGGAGAGTGCACAACAACAAAAACTTATCACGGCAACTGGTTTGATACATTCACCTCTGAAGGTAAATAATGTACTTACATTCAGCAATCTTGCTCTGATTTGTCATCCTAAGGGTCCCAGAGATTATCATTATTATATGCCATTTAGCAGACGCTTTTATCCAAAGCGACTTACAGTCATGCGTGCATAAATTTTTGTGTATGGGTGGTCCCGGGGATCGAACCCACTACCTTGGCGTTACAAGCGCCGTGCTCTACCAGCTGAGCTACAGAGACCACCATGTATGTCATTCCTGGGAGTGTGTAAACGTACATTTTCTATTACCATATCACTTTTCTATGTTCTCTATAGTTGTGTACATAAATGTATAATTTGACCAATTCGGCACATTTTGGCAGACTTGATACAAAATAGTCCAGTATTGCAATGGTTCACTGAATCAATCTGAAACTTTGCACACACTGCTGCCATCTAGTGGCCAAAATCTAAATTCCGCCTAAACTGCAATATTATATTGTGGCCTTTCTCTTGCATTTCAAAGATGACGGAACAAAAAATAAAATAGAAAACACTTTTTTCTTTTACCAGATCTAATGTGTTATATTCTCCTACATTAGTTTCACATTTCCACAAACTTCAAAGTGTTTCCTTTCAAATGGTATCAAGAATATGGATATCCTTGCTTCAGGTCCTGAGCTACAGGCAGTTAGATTTGGGTATGTCATTTTAGGCAAATTGAAAAAAAAAGGGTCAGATCCATAAGAGGTTAAAAACAGTTTTGATGGCAACAATTAAAAAGGGCTAGGCCTACTATTTATTTCTCAACTGGTAATTGAAGTGTGCTTCCCATTCAAGTGCATGTAATAGTCATATTAGCAACCCACGCTAGTTGTTGCATCTTTAGATCTCCCCTCTTTCAAAATTTCTAACGGATATTTTCATCTCTGTCACATGAAACCGCTCGCAGTGCGGTGCGCTTTTGACAATGTGTTGGTGCGCTTTTGCCCGGTGTTTTCCCGCCAATTGTATTATGGAACAAACATTTGCACGTAGCCTACTGCCTGTGCTCATTGCTGCGCTTATAACGTGAATAAATAAATTGATCAACATTTTAAGCTAATCGTTCTGATCTATTGCATCAGCCTTATTGCTTTTATCGTCCCACAACTGTCCCAGAGTCTGTTTGGAATAGGCCATTTCTTTCTCGCACAAAACGACAAGCTGACCAATAGAATGTCAACTTTTCTACTATAGGGGATATTAGATTGACATAGGCTAGTGATTTTGCTGTTCGTTACTCGTCTTGTTGGCTGAGGAAAAGTAAATGTGGCAGTTATTCTATCGTCAAAGTGCGCATCGGAATTCGGTAAGAAGGACACACACCGTTGCATCCTTGAGTTGCATGTTCTGTTAAGATGAATAACCATAATGTAAATGTGATTTCTGTCATTCTGAGCACCGTGGGTGCGACCCTAATTGGGTTATGGGTCCAGTAAATTCCTCAAATGCCCATTAAATTAAAATGCTGCCGGAAACCCTGATATGATATATAAATACTAGGGCTGCCTAGTGTAATTGCAACATTTACAATGAGTAGGCTATACATACAGCTGCACGGACTCCGCTTCATGTAGACATGAGTTATATTAGCTATGATTTCATAACTCCAAAGACTACGCTTATTATTTAAAATCGATGCCTTTGTTTCATTTCAGAAAAGAAAGTTGCTAGTTACTAGTAATGGTGTGGGTGAACATATGGTTTATTAAATTAGTCAATATATATTTCATACCAGTGACCTATTTATCTTTTAGTTAATTTCATGTCTATTTTGCCATTTCAGAGATGCAGTCGCAGGTAAATCACAACTTCCACCCAGAGAGTGAGGTGAACATCAACAAGCTGGTGAACATCAAGCTGACTGCATCCTACACATACCTCTCCCTGGTATGATCTATATAATATGTATATACAAAATATTAAGAACACCTGCTCTTTCCATGACAGACTAACCAGGTGAATCCAGGTGAAAGCGATGATCCCTTATTGATGTCACTGGCTATTTTCTCCTCTGTGCTCCTGCATGTTATAAAAACATGTGATCTGTTGATGTTACTGACCTGTTTTTATCCAATGTGTATTTCATGTTTTATTTCTCTGTTCTCTCCTAGGGGATGTATTTCGACAGGGACGACGTGGCTTTGCCCAGCTTCTCTAGTTTTTTCCTGGAGTGCTCTGTGAAGGAGAGGGTGCAAGCAGAGAAATTGCTGGAATACCAGAATATGAGAGGTGGTCGCGTTCTCCTTCAGACCATCGCTGTAAGTCACTATTTCTCCCCGGTTAACTACAAAACATGCTCACTCCTATTTTGCTTTTAAGGCCTTTGTACCTGAGACTGGCAGCTGAATTTACTGTCCTGGAATTGCCCTCTCCCTCACTATCATAATTTACCCATGTATAGGGCCCTATAAAATCAGTTAAATGTTTGGCCTGATTCAGTTTTTTCCCAAATTCCGCTTTTCTCCATTTTTGTTTTCCCAGGACCATTTTTTCAATTTTTGTTTTCAGGTTTGATCTCAAAATCAATTTTTTTTTATAGAACATCCAGTTTTGTTGTTTTTCTAAGTCTACAACAATGCTTAAATCACATCAGGAGACCACTTTTGAGATCTGAGAAAAATGTAAGAAATGTAGTTACCCAGGTAGGCATTGGCCTTGCTCTGGCACCCCAATGGTGGAACAAGCTCCCTCACGACGCTAGGACAGCGGAGTCACTCACCACCTTCCGGAGACACTTGAAACCCCACCTCTTTAAGGAATACCTGGGATAGGATAAAGTAATCCTTCTACCCCCCCCCCCCCCCCAAAAAAAAAAAATCACAAAAAAAAAACATTTTGTAAAGTGGTTATCCCACTGGCTATAAGGTGAATGCACCAATTTGTAAGTCGCTCTGGATAAGAGCGTCTGCTAAATGACGTAAATGCAATGCCCACCAGCCAGAGACCATTGTTTGGTTACCAGTGTTTCTGTAGTGCTCATGTGATTGCAGGGTTTGCAGAACAAATGGCCACGGGATTAATGAAAATAATCATGATATCCTTCTGCCAGGTAGGCATTGGCAACTTTGTAGTTAACATTTAATTGATAAGGTTTTTGGGAAAGCCTTTCCATCCACCAGCAGACAATTAGCGTTATCGCTAATGGCTATGAAAAGCGTAGACTAGGCATATGCTCGCACCGCACACAACACACAGAATCACATGCTTTCTGTTCATGTCTTATTAACCAAATGAGTCCCACCGTGACGCTGGCACGATTTTGACTTCTAACCCCTTTTAAACATCTTCTGCATCCATTGGTACCAACCATTAGTTCGTGTAAATAACGGGGGCTGAGCTAGAGCGGTGTTTGTAAAACAAGGGTGGATCCCGAAGGGGCCCAGGGCCAGGTATTTTTACAAAAACGTCTACAGAGTCCGAATGGTTTATTCTTTTAGTAGTTTGTAGCTATCTATGAAAAACTGAGACTGTCACAAACACGCACATGTAACATGTTTTGCTCTGACGTTCACAAGCTACACAAGAAACGTTAGAAGATCATAGGAAATCCAAGGACATAGTGTCTATAATACTGTAATAAGCTCACTTAGTTGCTGTCACAAACTCCACACAGTTGTCACTGACTAGTTGGATATTCATTTTCCAGTGAGCAAACAATTTCAATACATACAGCACTCAAATAAATTCATTTTTTTCGTGTTTTTGCTTTGGCGGACCTTGTTTTTTTAAATTGACATTTGTCAATTAAAACTCATGAATGCAAATGTTTGTCATTGTTTTGTGTTCTACTTGTAGCCCAGGTTGTCCTGAAAATAAATGTTAAAACACTTCATTGTGAGGCTCCCGAGTGGCGCAGTGGTCTAAGGCACTGCATCTCGGTGCTTGAGGCGTCACTACAGACCCCCTGGTTCGATTCCAGGCTGTATCACAACCGGCCGTGATTGGGAGTCCCATAGGGCGGCGCACAATTGGCCAGCGTCGTCCGGGTTTGGCCGGTGTAGGCCGTCATTGTAAATAATACTTTTTTCTTAACTGACTTGCCTAGTTAAATAAAGGTAAAATAAAAAATATATAAGGGCTGGACATGCAAATAAATGAAAGTCAGATAAATCAAAAGCCAATTTTGCTGGGGTCTCGGGACTGATAGGGTTAACTTGGGCAAATTTAATGATTTATTATATATACATTTAGTTGATTTCCTACTAAGTTCAATACATTTTTGAATATTGTCGAGATCCCTCAATGCAAATTTCACGCTCTAATGTTCCAAGCCCTCTTCTTATCAGGGGAGCCATTTCCAGTGCGTTGTCAGGCATTGCCAACAGGGAGATCTCGTTAAATATGGATAGAATTCGTTAAAATTACTAAATGGCATTCACAGAATTTAAACGCTACAGCAATGCTCTTGTGAAAATTTAGAAATTTGAAAACTAGTGTTTCAGCATATATTATAACCACTACAAAGATGATGCTAGATAGCTAGCTTCTTCAAAAGACTTGACTGGTTAGCTAGCTAGCAGCAGAGCCTTCTGGCTAATATCATAGACTTTGTCTAACATTGTTTTACAAAGAAATAGGTCTATGTACTTGTCATGTTAGTTGAAGCTAACATTAGTTTACAAAATGATTGTTTGCTAAGGTGTATATTCGGTTGGCTTTGCTATCTAGCAAGCTGAGATCTTATTGCTCAAGTTGGTAATCCCGTTGTTTTGAAAACCGCTTGCTAGCCCTCGTCCAGTACATAACATGCAAATATCTAATGTTATCCTAGCTAGCTTAGTGTTACTTCTCTGTAGGGCTTTCCCTGACCCAAAAATATATTGGTTGTACGAAAGTAGTCTGTTCTTTCGACCAATCGATTGGTCTACATTTTAAAACGTGTATTTTTCCATATACAGTGCATTCGGAAAGTATTCAGACCCCTTCCCTTTTTCCACATTTTGTTACGTTAAAGCCTTATTCTAAAATGGATTCAATCAAAATGTCCTCAATCTACACACAATACCCCATAATGACAAAGCCAAAACCGTTTTTTAGAAATGTGTGCAAATGTATAAAAATAAATAAATACCTTATTAACATAATTATTCAGACCCTTTGCTATGAGACTCGAAATTTAGTTCAGGTGCATCCTGTTTCCAATTATCATCCTTGAGATGTTTCTACAACTTGAAGTCCACCTGTGGTAAATTAAATTGATTGGACATGATTTGGAAAGGCACACACCTGTCTATATCAGGTCCCACAGTTGACAGTACATGTCAGAACAAAAACCAAACCATGAGGTCGAAGGAATTGTCCGTAGAGCTCCGAGACAGGATTTTGTCGAGGCACAGATCTGGGGAAGGGTTTCAAAACATTTCTGCAGCATTGAAGGTCCCCAAGAACACAGTGGCCTCCATCATTCTTAAATGGAAGAAGTTTGAACCACCAAGACTCTTCCTATAGCTGTCCGCCCGGCCAAACTGAGCAATCGGGGGAGAAGGGCCTTGGTCAGGGAGGTGACCAAGAACCCGATGGTCACTGACAGAGCTCCAGGGTTCCTCTGTGGCGATGGGAGAATCTTTCAAAAGGACAACCATCTTTGCAGCATTTTACCAATCAGGCCTTTATGGTAGATTGGCCAGACGGAAGCCACTCCTCAGTAAAAGGCACATGACAGCCCACTTGGAGTTTGCCAAAAGGCAGCTAAAGGACTCTCAGACCATGAGAAACAAGATTCTTTGGTCTGATGAAACCAAGATTGAACTCTTTGGCCTGAATGCAAAGCGTCACATCTGGAGGAAACCTGGCACCATCCCTACGGTGAAGCATGGTGGTGGCAGAATCATGTTGTGGGGATGTTTTTCAGCAGCAGGGACTGGGAGACTAGTCAGGATCTAGGGAAAGATTAACCGAGCAAAGTACAGAGAGATCCTTGATGAAAACCTGCTCAAGAGCGCTCAGGACCTCAGACTGGGGCAAAGGTTCACCTTCTAACAGGACAATGACCCTAAGCACACAGCCAAGACAACACAGGAGTGGCTTCGGGACAAGTCTCTGAATGTCCTTGAGTGGCCCAGCCAGAGCCCGGACTTGAACCTGATCGAACACCTCTGGAGAGACCTGAAAATAGCTGTGCAGCGACTGGATTTCTGCATGTATGTCAATACCACAGGAGTCCTCTTACATTTTGGGAACTTTAGTCCTGTTGATCAGTGCATCCCAAATGGAGGCAGCAAACAAGGTACCAGGCCAGCTGGGATTTACAACCTGATAGCAATATTTTTGGGACTATCAAGAAATGTATTGAGCTGCATCCATCTATTCTGCCAACAATGCCTTAATGTATGTAATGGAATGTTGAGTCAAATATAACCTATTTTTAAAACCTCTTATAAAGTGGAATGGAATGTGGAAGGTGCTAGAATGCATTGACTGTATTCCGTTTTAATGTTTGGATTCCGTTATTTCGTCAGCGTGTTCCTCAACGCGGATTTGTCAGGGCCCTACATGCAATTGTGATACCCAAGTCACTGTGCCTGTTTGACTACATTGCAGGAGAACTGTGAAGAATCACTAATATACAAATAACTTTGCTTGATGCATCCCAAATAACTACTCTGTGATCTAGATTAGCGGTTCTGGGCCTTGCCTTGCTCAAACTGATTCCTTGAAATGCGCTGTCTGTCTCTCTGTTTCAGAAACCCAGCAGGGAGGACTGGCGAAGTGGCCTGGAGGCCATCACCTTCTCCCTGGAGTTTCAGAAAACCCTCAACACGTCCCTCCTCGAGGTGCACCGTGGTGCCAATACTCACACTGACCCCCATGTAAGTCCATGATAATTATCCCATTGTGATTAACTGCTGTGCATATTTTAATGGATGTTTACAGTGTTATTAGATCAGATGTATATGATAGCTATGTATAACTGAAGCTCATAACAGCTATGTTGGTCTGTTAGTGATTTGAACAGATCAAATATGGAGAAGGAGGAACAGATCGAATGTTGAAGGAATACCTGCAGGATGCATCTACCAGTATGATATCAATGCTGTGCTGTGTCTGTTGCAACCGGGCATTACAATACAATCTTACTTCTAATTTACTTCCTCATTAGCTGTCTGACTTCCTAGAGCAGCACTTCCTGTCCGACAGCCACGACACCATCAAGAAGCTGGGCGACCATCTGGGCAGCCTGACCCGCCTCACTTCCTCTGAGACCCATGGCTCCATGGGAGAATACCTGTTTGACAAACACACCCTGTAAGACCCACAGCAAGAAGAGAGCACAGCTTTCAAACAGGGACTGGAGTCTGGAGAGTTGTGCTGGGCAGAACGTCCTAACTGTGCATGCATTTCCGTTACAAGTAGCACTAAAGTGTGATTTAGCAACAGAACCACATACCTCTTTTACAATACGTACAGAGAACAATGCAAGATAATGGAACAGTTGAATACCTCAATAACACCCATTTACCACTTCTGATGTGAACAGTGGTTACCACTGACAAAAGGTGTAATGGGTTCGCACTCAAATCTTTTTCACATAAAGCTTACTATTTGATGTTCTAAATTATTTTCACTGCATCAGGGATAGCGTACACAGACGTTTCGGCTTTACATCCTTCAGTGTGTAGGTACAGTTTTCTTTTAATTCAAAACAGCATTTTTAAAGAACAAACGATGAGCAGCAGGTGCTTCTAATCAGGGTTGCCACTCATCTGCCAATCAGGGATGTGTCTTTTCTGGCCTACTTGTATACAAATGAGTCACAAAGAAATACAGAATTATAGGGTATGGGAGCGGGCATGAAGGGCAACTCACAAATCAACCGCCCCAGGTGTCTGTTCACCTAAACAACCCTGGTGCTATAAGTCAACTTGGTTTCTGCCGTAGTTGATCAAGCATTCCAGCAATATATATGCTTCATTGTGTTGTGCATTCCTACATATTTATGAATCAATGCTGTGTTACACCTAGTTTCATTTTTAAAAAGCAGCATATCATTAAATATGTTCTGAAGGATTTAATCTAGTTGAATTTGAATAAAAGTAACACTACTGGTATAGATGGCGTTGTCTTATTTTGGGGGGGTCCTGGTATTCCTGGGTCACTGTCGAGCGAAGGTTTGTTTTACTTGCGACTGCCATACAGCCTGTGGTAGATTGTTATAAAAAAATGTTTAAGTATAACCGCAAAGAAAATATACACTACCAGTCAAAAGTTTGGACACACTTACTCATTCAAGGGTTTTTCTTTATTTTAAATTTTTTTGACATTATAGAATAATAGTGAAGACATCAAAACTATGAAATAACACATGGAATCATGTAGTAACCAAAAAAGTGTTAAACAAATCAAAATATATTTGAGATTCTTCAAATAGCCACCCTTTGCCTTGATGACAGCTTTGCACACTCTTGGCATTCTCTCAACCAGCTTCATGAGGTAGTCACCTGGAATGCATTTCAATTAACAGGTGTGTCTTCTTAAAAGTTAATTTGTGGAATTTCTTTCCTTAATGCGTTTGAGCCAATCAGTTGTGTTGTGACAAGGTAGGGGTGGTATACAGAAGATAGCCCTATTTGGTAAAAGACCAAGTCCATATTAGGGCAAGAACAGCTCAAATAAGCAAAGAGAAACGTCCATCATTACTTTAAGACATGAAGGGCAGTCAATATGGAACATTTCAATTTCAGTCACAAAAACCATCAAGCGCTATGATGAAACTGGCTGTCATGAGGACCGCCACAGGAATGGAAGACCGAGAGTTACCTCTGCTGCAGAGGATAAGTTCATTAGAGTTACCAGCCTCAGAAATCGCAGCCCAAATAAATGCTTCACAGATTTCAAGTAACAGACACATCTCAACATCAACTGTTCAGAGGAGACTGTGTGAATCAGGCCTTCATGGTCGAGTTGCTGCAAAGAAACCACTACTAAAGGACACCAATAATAGGAAAATACTTGCTTGGGCCAAGAAACACGAGCAATGGACATTAGACCGGTGGAGAGATTTTTGGTTCCAACCGCCGTGTCTTTGTGAGACGTGGTGTGGGTGAACGGATGATCTCTGCATGTGTATTTCCTATCGTGAAGCATGGAGGAGGTGGTGTTATGGTGTGGGGGTGCTTTGCTGGTGACACTGTGATTCATTTAGAATTCAAGGCACACTTAACCAGCATGGCTACCACAGCATTCTGCAGTGATACGCCATCCCATCTGGTTTGGGCTTAGTGGGACTATCATTTGTTTTTCAACAGGACATTGACCCAACACACCTCCAGGCTGTGTAAGGGCTAGTGTAAGGGCTATTTTACCAAGAAGGAGAGTGATGGAGTGCTGCATCAGATGACCTGGCCTGCACAATCCCCCGACCTCTATCCCAATTGAGATGGTTTGGGATGAGTCGGAACGCAGAGTGAAGGAAAAGCAGCCAACAAGTGCTAATATATGTGGGAACTCCTTCAAGACTGTTGGAAAAGCATTCCAAGTGAAGCTGGTTAAGAGAATGGCAAGAGTGCCAACACTTTTTTGGTTACGACATGATTCCATATGTGTTATTTCATAGTTTTGATGTCTTCACTATTATTCTACAATGTAGAAAATAGTAAAAATAAAGAAAAACCCTGGAATGAATAGGTTTGTCCAAACATTTGACTGGTACTGTAGGTCTGGAAAATTGTGAGTCAAAACCTATTCAGCACAATTTTTGACAAGAAGATCACCTTAAGTTCCAACTATGCACTAATCTCGTTCCCAGCTAATTCTGCCCAAATGCCCGAAAGGTCTGGTGGACCAACGTGTCAAACTTGGCCTTCGTTAGCCAATAAAAAGATTGTGAGGATCTACCCGACGCATAGGCAGTGAGGGGATTCTATTAATGCCCCCGGTGAACAGAGTTAGCGTTGATTGTATTCTATTTCGAACCGGGCTGCCTCCCGGGCGTGAGTCAGGTGCCTGTTCTGGCTGACAGCAGTCGTCCCAAAACAAAAGTGACGTAGGAATCTGTGTTTTCACATGCAAAAGTGATCGCTTTCTGCCTCCCTAATGAAAACTATTTTGAAAATTCAAACATGTTTTATGAAAAGAGATGTTTCTGAATGATGCACCATGCTGCATTGTTGACGATGGTCTTGTCCCATGCATCAACCAATGGTTGCGTGCCACATAATCCACATTGCTATAACATGTTGTTAGCTGATACGTAAAATACAAATACAAACGTTGTAACATCTGGCATGCGTCAGCAACGTCTGAGCAGGGGAACACGACCAATATGAACGAGCGGCGCTCATTACAGTTCGATTTGAGCAGGGCGCGCCTCCCTCATTGGCTTCGCCTGGTCACGTGACAGGCCATAGCCCGGTTCAACCCAGGGCAGCTTAATAGAACTCCCTCATTGGCTTAATCTACCAACCAATCATCCCCCCCCCACACCTTCCCCAAAAAACCCAAATTACACGGGGAGGAGACATCAGTGTGAAATGTGCGTATGAGCGTTAATTTACATACACTGCATTTCGTATGCCAGTTTAATACGCCATGCAAGTGACTCGGCAAGTAGCCTTGTAGTTTAACTTTTGTAGGCTTTTAATGGCAAAAACTTAAAAAAAGGCATCTGGCAGAAGTAAATTCAAACACAAACATAATTGTGTATATCTTATGAGGGCATTTTCATGAATTTGAAATAATCTTGAAGCCCATTCAAAAGACCAGGGACATAAACACTGAAATATGACGTAGGAGCGTGTAACTTGCATATGGCGTTTCCCCGGACCACCCATACACAAAAAAAAAAAAAATGTATGCACGCATGACTGTAAGTCGCTTTTTTTTTTTTTTTTTTTTTTTTTTTTTTTTTAACTTGCATGGCGTATTGTCATGAAAAGCCATATGTTTTTTTGCGTAGAGCTTCCTATTGGTCATTTCTGATATTTTCCAAGTGGGGAACTGAGCTCATTTTCCTACAACAAGTTTTCAAGTCGGAAATGACCCTCCCCCGTACATGTCTTGTGCACCTCTGTTTACGTTCCTCCTGTATGCCCGTTGTGAGGGAGCTCCTCGTCTGTCGTATTTTCGGCACAGTATTGGCTCTCTCCCGAAATAAACTCCCAAGTCTCGCCACTACTTTTGTAGTGCCTTGTTAAAAGTGTGCAACACTTTTCACAGACTGATTTAGCGAGATCATCCACCTCAGCGATGGGACCAGTTATCTCCTTTAGTGCCCTATAGTATAATCGTATCAGGCCGACGTCTTGGCAACAATAAAGAGATGGCGTTTGTACTTCTTATGGGCTAGTTTTCACCAAAAGGGCGACACACATCGACCACAGATTTTACAGGTGTATCAGGCTTTTTTCTTCTCGGGAAGCCATTAGCTAGCTGGAAGGTATTGTTTTTTTCTCCCTTTGAGGTCAGGAGGAATGTTTTTGCTAGCACACAACAAGTTCTTGCCCGGGTCCTGCCGCCATTTGGAGCCACGCCTCGCATTCGTGTGATTTGCTCAAATTAAATGATGGCCAATAGGGCTCCGACGGGCCGCGCCCATCTTCCCACGGTTAGGGTTCCGTAACTGACACCCCACTCAGTTTTAGCATACACATTTCCGCAACATGCTGGTAGGGTCGATTTTTCTAGGAGGTATTTGTCTGTCTGAAAAACAGCACAGCTAACCAGACAGTCTGGCTGTTGACAAGGTCGTAACTTCAGGTTCAGGCTAGCTTGCGCGGTCGAGGAAGGTTGTGTTTGGAGAAGGTTACAAGAGTAGGTGGGATAAATCGTTGAAAAACAAACAAACTTTACTCTGTGGCGGTGGTTCGGCACGGCTGTGCTGTGAATGGGTCAGAGATGGTAGGATATAGTGATGGAGAAGAAAGTGAAGCAAGTAAGGAACATAGCGGTACAAATAAAGGAGGGAGTAAGAAAGAGAAAAAGAAAGCGGGAGAGAACGGGAGTAGGGGTATGAAGGGGAGCGAGAGGTCTATGGAGGCAGAAAAGGATGTTTGAGGAGCGCAACTTAGCTTCCAACGCTAGCGGAAGTTCGGAGGTAGAATGTGCAGAGGAATGGCAAGATAAGATGCAAGGGGAGCATGGAGGTGAGGAGGAGCATAAAGTGATTCTGAAGTTTAGGGAGGAAGGTGGAGTTGGGGCGATGAGTCCGATTAGGTTGACGGCTGTGATAAAATAGTTGATTGGGGAAGTTGTCAATGCTAAAGTGTTAAGAGATGGGAGCTTGTTGGTGTTCTGTAAGGACATGGCGCAGAG